TGCAACAATTATATCGTTTTTTCTTAGTAAAATCTGAATATTTTATCAAATTTCAAACGATTTTACAAAGTTGCAAAATTCAAGAGATAGAATTTCAATTTAGGATTCAATTTAGGAAGATTTATTGAATTTTGCTACTTTTTTCAGCAATTTTCATTGCAATTTACTAAAAATTCATTATAATCACTCTATATATATTGGGTATGAGAAAAAGTTCGTGGCGTTTTTCCCGCTAGATGGTTTAAATGCTCAGCAGTCGGCAACACTAGACGTGCGTTTAAAAAGTGACATTTTAATCTTTGTTTTGAGCCGAAAAAGATTGAAATCGGTGAAGTAGATCAAAAGTTATTTTATTTTGAAAATGGAAATAAATAAGGAAAAAATTCGCTACATTTTGCAGTATTACTACGATAAAAGCAAGAATGCTGCACAGGCTTATGAAAAAATTTGCAGTGAAGATACTCTATCAAAATCAGCAGTACGGAAATGGTTCGCTTGCTTTCATGCTGGAAATTTTGATGTGAAAGATGAATCTCCGGTCGACCAATCACTGAAAAGTCCGATGAAATCATAAAAGTCGAGCGTGATAAGCATGTGGAGATTGCCAGGGAACTAGGCATCGACCACAAAACAGTTTTAAATCATTTACACAAAGCTGGATACAAAAAGAAGTTCGATGTTTAGGTTCCTCACGAATTGAGTGTTAGGAATATGATGGACCGAATTAACATTTGTGATACGCTACTGAAACGGAATGAAATTGAACTATTTCTGAAGAGAATGATAACTGGTGATGAAAAATGGATCACCTACGACAATCCAACTAGAAAAAGATCATGGATAAAGAAAGGAGAGAAGGCGCAAGCAATCGCAAAATCTGGATTAACGAGGAAGAAGGTGATGTTGTGTGTGTGTGTGGTGAGACTGGAAGGGAATCGTTCACTATGAGCTGTTATTGTCCAATCAAACAATTAATTCCGAACTCTACTATGAACAACTGCAGAGATTACAACAAGCAATTGAGAGGAAGCGGCCAGAATTAATCAATAGGAAAGGTGTCGTCTTCCATCACGACAACGCTCGACCACATACATCTTTGATGATTCGGCAAAAATTGCAAGAGTTTGGCTGGGAAGTTTTAATGCATCCACCGTATAGTTCTGACATAGCACTCTTAGACTATCATTTGTTTAGGTCTCTGCAGAACTCTCTTAATGGTGTAAAGCTAGCTTCAAAAGAGGCCTGTGAAAATCACTTGAAGCAGTTTTTCGATTTGAAGCAGGTTTTCGAGAAACCACAGAAGTTCTATTGCGATGGAATTATGGCTCTGCCCCAAAAATGGCAAAAATATTATAGAAAATAATGGAGCATGTTTGGTTTAAATAAATTGATGTCAATACTACTCTAAGAAAACTCTAAGAAAAACACTTTAATTTTACTAAAAAATCGCCTTTTTTCCCATACCTAATATATAGCTTTTTATTTCTTAGAATATTTCTCAAAGAGCAGACAATTTATCGTTACAATTTGTTTTAAAATGCATAATTTTAATAAAATTTCCTCTCTTTTTATTAAATACTAGTGGTAATTTTTTGTTCTTTCATTACATTTTTTGAAATCCCATTTAAATGTCACCTGTTTTTCATTAAACGTAAAATATTAATTCTTCAAGGAAGTATAATTAAAATTTCATATATTCATCATTACATATTCATTGAAAACAATCATATAAAAAGGTGAAAAAATTTCTTTGCCTTAAAGTATACATTAATTAAATATAAAAGGGTAGCAAAAGACTATAGGAATCAACGCTGTAAGTTATCCGCATAAAATTATTATAGAAATTGATGTCTAAAAAAATGCGATAACAATAAGACAAATTTTGACTAATTTCTAATTCCCTTCAGTATAGAAAACTTAAAGACATTATAATTTACATTCTTC